GCCCCTCCCCAGAGCCGCCGGACGGGGACACCGACGGGGACACGGCCACCGAGCGCCACCACGGGGACCAGGTGGGCACCGCTCTGCGCCGCGGGTACCCGGAGGAGCCGCCGGGACACCGAGTTGCTCCAAAATTCTCCAAAATTCTCCAAAATTCTCAAAATTTCTCCAAAATTCTTCAAAATCCTCCAAAATTCTCCGGTTTTGGATCATTTTTTCCGAATTTTTTCCAATCTTCTCTGATCTTCTCTGATCTTCTCCGATCTTCTCCAATCTTCTCCGATCTTCTCCAGTTTTGTCCAATTTTCTCCAAAATTCTCCCAAACTCTTCAAAATTCTCCCAAATTCTCCCAAATCCTTCAAAATTCCCCCAAATCCTCCAAAATTCTCTAGTTTTGTCTCATTTTTTCCTACTTTTATTCAGTCTTCTTTGATCTTCTCCAGTCTTCTCCAGTCTTCTCTGATCTTCTCCAATCTCCTCCAGTTTTCCCCAGTCTCTCCCAATCTTCTCCGTTCTTCTCCAGTTTTCTCCAATTTTCTCCAAAATTTTCCAAAATTCTCCTTTTTTGTCCAATTTTTTCCCCAATTTTCTCCAATCTGCTCCAGTGTTCTCCAGTCTTCTCCAGTTTTCTCCACTCTTCTCCAATCTCCTTCAATCTTCTCCAGTTTCATCCAATTTTCTCCAATTTTCTCCAATTTTCTCCAAAATTCTCCATTTTTTCATTTTTTTCCCAATTTTCTCCAGTCTTCTCTGATCTTCTTCAACCTTCTCCAATCTCCTCCCGTTTTCTCCAATCTTCTCCATTTCTCCGCAGTTTTGTCCAATCTTCTCCGATCTTCTCCAGTTTTCTCCGGTTTTCTCAGATCTTCTCCATTTTTGTCCAGTCTTCCCCAGTTTCATCCAATTTTCTCCAATTTTCTCTAAAATTCTCCAAAATTCTCCAGTTTTGTCTAATTTTTTCCCAGTCTTCTCCAATCCTCTCTGATCTTCTCCGATCTTCTCTGATCTCCTCCTGCTTTCTCCAATTTTCTCCAGTTTTCTGCAGTTTTGTCCAATCTTCTCCGATCTTCTCCAGTTTTCTCCAGTTTTCTCCAATCTTCTCTAATCTCCTTCAATCTTCTCCAGTTTCGTCCAATTTTCTCCAAAATTCTCCAGTTTCGTCCAATTTTCTCCAAAATTCTCCAGTTTTGTCCAATTTTTTCCCCAATCTTCTCCAATCTTCTCCAGTCTTCTCTGATTTTCTCCAACCTTCTCCGATCTCCTCCAGTTTTCCCCAATCTTTCCCAATCTTCTCCAGTTTTCCGCATTTTGTTCAATCTTTTCTGATCTTATCCCATTTTCTCCAATTTTCTCTGATCTTCTCCATTTTTGTCCAATCTTCTCCGATCTCCGGTTTTCTCCATTTTTTTCCCAGTCTTCTCCAATCTCCTTCGATCTTCTCCAGTTTTGTCCAATTTTCTCCAATCGTCTCCAGTTTTGTCCAATTTTCTCCGATCTTCTCCAGTTTTGTCCAATTGTCTCCAATTTTCTCTGATCTTCTCCAATCTTCTCCAGTTTTCCCTAATTTTCTCCAGTCTTCTCCGATCTTCTGCAAACTTTTCCATTTTTTCCAACCTTCTCCGATCTTCTCCAGTTGTCTCTGATCTTCTCCGATTTTCTCCAATCTTCTCTGATTTTTCCCAGTTTTCTCCAGTCTTTTCCAGTTTTCTCCAGTTTTCTTCATTTTTTCCCATTTTTGTCCAATCTGCTCCAATCTTGTCTGATTTTCTCCGTTTTTTCCCAATATTCTCCAATTTTTTCCAATCTTCTCGTCTTCTCCAATTTTCTCCAATCTTCTACAATTTTCTCCATTTTATCCAATTTTCTCCGATCTTCTCTGATTTTCTCTGATTTTCTCAAATCTTCTCTAATTTTCTCAATTTTTTCCAATCTTCTCCAATTTTCTGCAATCTTTTTCAATTTTCTCCATTTTGTCCAATTTTCTCTGATCTTCTCTGATTTTCTCTGATCTTCTCCAATCTTCTCTGATTTTCTCCAGTCTTTCTCCAGATTTTCTCTGTTTTTCCCAATATTCTCCAATTTTCTCCAATTTTCTTTAATTTTCTACAATCTTCTCCAATTTTCTCCATTTTTTCCAATCTTCTCCAGTTTTCTCTGATCTTCTCCAATTTTCTACAATCTTCTTCAATTTTCTCCATTTTATTCAATTTTCTCTGATCTCTGATTTTCTCTCATTTTCTTCATTTTTTCCAATCTTCTCCAATTTGGTCCAATCTTCTCCTGTTTTCTCCGATTTTCTCCATTTTTTCCCAATCTTCTCCAGTTTTGGGGATGTGAACCACTCCTTACCGGCAAAGCGCCTGCCCGGTTCCCATCCCCACCATTGGCTGAGTTCGTTAACCTCGTTCCGCTGAGGGGAAAGTGAAAGTGAAAGCGACGGGGAGGACGAGAGGA